CTTCGCGATCACATGGACCATTGAGTGAAAAAAAAATGAAGCTCTTTCATATAATATGTACAAGTAATGGCAGTAAAAAAATATCGATCGTCGTTCGTTTCAACGGAATACGAGTTTTTCCATGTACACTCGATGTCAGAGGCCCCTTTCCGTCACGCCTTTCCGTCTGTTTCTCCAGCAAAACTACCGATATCGTGAACGTATAAAGAGTATCGAGAAGATAATATATTCCGCCGACACCAAGTTAAAAACATCACAAGCTACGACTCCTAAGTAATAATATAGCACGGAGATTCATTATTCTTTTTTTTTTCTTTTTCAGTAATTTCTTCTTTTAATCAAAAATATTGTCTATTTCAAGAAGGATCGAATTATCATGCAAAATAATAATAATATCTAGGCATTGGTCTAGCATTCCCTTTGACCCCATTATCATTCCTCTGATATACATAATGTCTTGAGCAATCCGTTGCTCCAATTGTCTTTAATCTTGTCATACGAATTATATGTCTTCTTAGGAAATAACGTTATAAAAAGTAAGCTGGAGGAAACGTTCCAGCTTTGAAAAGAGAAGAGATATCTCCATGATTAGGAGGAATTCTGATGCCTAAAACACTGTTGTTTCGTAACACATGTTATTAACCGTGTGTCATATGTTATAATTGATTTCTTCGTGCTTTATCATGTATCATTCGTCAAACCCTGGTAATGTACACACAATCGCCCAATCAACGAACCACCATCTATTTTGCACCGGAGAACGTACGCGTGAAAGCGCAACGCACTGCCTCAACTGGTTTCCCTGTTTCGAGCTCGAAGTGTGTTCCTCTACGTGGCATAAAGAAAGAGTAAACTCCTTTGGGAATGTGGTGACGGCGGTTAGAAATGGATTCGTGAATCTCAAATGTAGTGGAAACATTTCTTATGGATCGCTCGATCGGCTCAGGAAGCTTACGCGCATTGCAGTTCTAATTGAAATAATAAATATCGTCTTGATGTTGAAAACTGCAATGTATGTGCAATCTGCAGGCTCTTATCTTAACGAAGGAAAATAAAAAGATTTTCTTTTGTTTTCGAACGTGTGTAAAGTTAAATGCCACGTAAACAGGTGTTGCTCTCCTTAAATTAGTGCTTAAAAAAACCGATAACATTGGATGGAATGTCCATTTACTTATCGCTAATAAAAATATTTCTAGCAAAATATATAAATCATTCTTATATATATTTGTATATTTAATACATATATATATATAAGTATTTATGTGTATGTATATATATATATATATGTATGTGTGTGTGTGTACGTTTATAATTCATTTTTTGTTAATATATATATATATATAGAAATTTATATGTATATATATATATATTATATATATTTTATATATTATATATATATATTTATATTTTATATAAATCACACACGTATAAATCACGAAATTTTCGAGAGAAAAGATAATGTCCTAAATCGAAAAATAATTAAGGCACTTCATGCCTCATGTAAAAGAACAGCTCTCCTCAATGTGAAAGAGCATGTATAACAGAAAAAGAGAGGAAAATACACGATCACGAACGTTCTGATATATTCTTCTGGACCGTCGAAAAACTCATACGTTACGTAAGGAAAACACTCTAAGTACTGTTGCTCACTTAAGTATCAAAACAAAAAAATCATCTCTGAAATGAATAAGTTTATATATGCATGTATCTTGAAAAGAAAAGGTTCAAGGGCAAACTATCTCTAAAATAACTATTACCATACAACAGAACGATATGGAAAAGGAGCTTGTATAGAATATCATGTGGAATGTCATCTATAAATAATTCGCATGGACAAAATGCGCATGTAACCATATACATTCGTAGAAGAATAAATCGTATATCGTACAACACTTTTTCACACAGTAACGATGCAATTAAGATAAATTTGCACAAGAAATAAATGTCTCGTTATATGATCTGATATTGTGATACTGGTGACATGGTTGTTCAAATTCAATCTAACAACAACGTAAAAAAATAGATAGAAAAGAGATGTACAAGGAAGGAGCGTCCACTGCGTCCGTCCACTGTGTGATCGATAACTAACAAGTTTAACATAACCTGATTAAATCTGAGGATAAAATTGAGCAGGATAAGGCAAGCCTGGTGCTGCGGCTGGAGCTTGCGCGTGAAATGCGGCCGCTGGTGTGTGCCACGTGGCACGTTTCGCGATTGGGCTCGACGTATCAGATGGGAAAGCGGTTTCCCAGGTTCTCTTTAATCCCATTATAGCGGCTGGATTAATGGGAGCAGCCTGAACGATAGGTGTCAAGATACTATGCGGTGCCGGTGCCCGTAAAATAGGAATACGAGAGGGTACATTAAAGAGTAAAAAGGGGGCCGGCGCGGGTGGTTGAGCGTGAAGCGCTGCAGCAGCCGCAGCGGCCGCGACTGCTGTCTGAGGTGCCATTGCATAGGCAGGAATCTGATGCTGCGGATTCGGTCCCGGTAGAGCGAGCGTCTTAGTCGTAACTGACGAAGTTGGGGAAGCAGGAGTAGTAGAGGTAGGTGGTGGATTTGAGGCTAGAGCCATTAACCAAAAGTCTTGATTTCGAATTGCTTGCGCTTGAGCCTGAGCTTGAGCTTGCGCTTGAGCCTGCGCCTGTGCTTGGGCTTGTTGAGCCTGTACTAACGCGTGAATGTCCCAGAGAGGGGGTTGCGCCGTCGGTACCGGTACCGGTACCGGTGTCGGCGGAGGCGGATGTGTCAAAGTTGCAGGAGTTTGTGTGGTCAACGTACCGGGTGATAGTAGAGCCTTGGTTGATGGTGGTGTTACTGCACCTGTCAATACCAGATTCATGTCGTCCCCACTGCACTGGAACACTTCGATGTATCGTTGTTTCTTGCCATATATCATGTACCGATGATGTCGCTGTGACGCGCACGCGTATGCTGAACTTTCGCTGTCCATTTGAATAAACGCCTCACCGGAAGGCTGACCCTGAACGCACAAACAAAATGTATATTGGTAAATTGATTTGTTAGAAAGAATGAAGTGTAATTACGACGCAGAAGATAGATGACACGGAAGACGTACGTACTTGAGCATTATAAACCATGTGAACACCCTGGTAGACAATATTTTTCGAATGTTCGCCCATGAACTCGAGGATATGCTCAACAAGAGCCTCGTATGGAAGACCGCGCAATCTAACGCAATCTTTGCGCGTACCAGAAGTGATAATATGTTGTGGAAGTATGGGAGGAAGTTGTGGAATAGGCGGCGTTGGAAGTACAACCTGTTGTTTCGGATCAATTGCCCTATTCAAAACCTGTAAATCAATACGCATATGTTTGATCTTTTTCCTCACTTTTAAAGTAGACTTTAATTATTCGCGTATTATTTACCTGCTGCACCTCAGCAATTGTACTTCGAAAAAGTTCTATATAACGGCTTCCAATGCAATCTCTGTGTTTACTTAATGCCTTCATAGCATCTTCCTCCTTTGCAAAAAGAACGAATGCATCCCCAGTTGCCCTGCCATCTGGTTTTTTTACAAACAAAACGCCTTCTTCTTTATCCAATACTTCACAGGACTTTTGCCCTGACGAAAAGAAGTCCAACTGTGAAAAGTAATACATAAAATGAGAAGATAGAACATGTGATCGAATATGTATGGAAAACATTTTTTGCATACCACTTGTTTAGTAATACAATCATATGGCAAGCCTCTCATTCTAACAATAACTTGCGCTCCTTTAGATAAAAATGTATGAGCTTCACCATTAGCTCCTCCAGCAACGCTAACAAAATCCTCTCCAGAAGCTTTATACACTTCTATATATCTTCCTCCCATGTGATGTTTATGTTTTTTTAATGCCATGTCTCTATGTTCTTTGTTAATAAACCGTACTAAGGCTTCTCCGTTACGTCTACCCATAGCACTTAAACACAGAGCTACACCACCCCTGTAAAACAATATTTTTATAATAAAAGTCAATACATTATTTAAAGCTTTTTGTAGTTGATTATAATCAAAATAGCAAGAATCAGTTAGAATATGTTTAAAACAGAATAAATATATAAATTATATAAATTACAACTGTGATTTTGAGAATCATTGGCAAATTTATATAACATACAAGCTTCATGACCCAAGATAATACTTATCATTGCATAAGAAAGAAAGAAATAACAAGAAAATATTTTTAACTGTTATTTGTTACTTCTTATAAAGTAAACATTACCCATTAAAAACTTGCATGATCATCCATATTTACATATTAAATATTAATCTTTACCTTTGTCACATGGATCCAAGTGGCTTGTGTACAAATATCATAATAGTTATTACAATGTATTTTATTACAATCTTTAACTACCTTAAAGCTAGTATTCATAATCTTCACTTACTTGGCAATATTTAGGCCACGAAAAAATTTTGCTATATCCTGATCAGATGATTGCCAAGGAAGACCTCTAGCTCTTACTACACAGTTATTATCAACTTCTTCATCTTTTGAGCTACAATAGAGCATCATAACATCAGTAACATAAACTTCATTAGTTGAAAAAGAAATATCAAGAATAACTTACCATATACCAGGTTCTAAAACAATATTAACTGTTTCAGGATTTTGGAAGACGTGTCCTGCAATAATGTAATTAACACATTTACAATGTAAAAGAAATGTAAACATAAATTCAAGTGGATGATTGAAAACATTTTGATAATACTCCTATAATACAACAATAAAAAAGGAATGACCTTAGAAGTCGATGACGCTTATGCATCATAACTCATATTGATCCAAAAAGCGATTATAATCCATATATGAGGATTTAAATTCTCTTCTATTTATTCAAGTAATATATTCATTTGATTTAAAAACTAGATCAGTAATAAATCTTAATATATACAAAAGTTTTTATTAGGAATGTAATATTAAAAACAGAGAAATGAATTCTACCGCGAAAAATATAATCATTATCCCAGTGTTTCGAACTGGCCATCATTCGCATTTCCTTCGTAATTCTACACCGACAAGTTTGTCTCCGATTTCTCAAGCTTGAGCAAAAACTCAGTTTCAATTTGCCCACTCGCTGCAATGTGTCAGCAGTCTTTCGAAGTCTTTTCATGCTTTACGAATCGAAATTTTTCTTCCATCATCATTTCTACCCCTCCATCAAATATTTTATTCAACCGGAAATGCAATAAAACGGAGAGAGAGAGAGGAAGAAAATTCTGATTACGACCCGATGTTTATAGATGACATAATAATACATGCAAAAATTCAACGAAAAATGCAACAAATATTAAACACCGGCAAAATAAATATGCGATCGTGTCTTGAAGTAATACATGTTCTTACAAGATTGAAAATTAAAATCAGTCAGAGTTGAGCACCATTGTGATAAGAAATATATTATGACTGCTTATAGTATTACACAGCTTGACCCGCAATCATAAACCGTGAACACACATAAGAGCCCAAATGCATGGATTTAAAATGTATACACTGCTCTCTTTTTATTCGTTCCCTTCTTATTTTCTTCCTTTGTCTGTTTCACGTTTCTTTCACTTATCTTCATTAGAATGATTTTAAATAATAATATTATAAAATAATGACCTATTATAGAATTATACTTACAATGTATAACACACTGTAATAAAGTTGAAATTCTCATACTACTTCAACAATACAAATTGTTTATAAAAATTAACACTCGCTTTTTTGCATACTCTGTAATTTTATATTAAGCCATAAACACTTTGTAATAAAGAAATGCACAGTTTATATAAAATTACTCCAATTAGAAATGAAAAACTAATATTTCAAATTCATATCCGATGCATATATTGTATTGCATATCATTTCAATATTCCACTATATATGTACAATTCCAATTGCAATTAGTGGAAAATAACTGAGCCTTTCTTAAGATGATCGAGACATGGAAACTATATTTTTTCAAATGTATGACGTATCATAGAAGGGGCTCTCTGTTCTTTGAAAAATATCGCTTCGAATAATTTCATGGCTCCGTTTATTATAAATAAAAAAAGGAAAGATTTTCATCTATTTTCAACTGAAGATGAACTTAAGATTAGAATTGATGTTCAAGATTGTAATTTATATATATATACGTTTTACTTTCAACATTAATCAAAAATTTAAACGATCGCAACGTCATACCGAACTTAATTTACTGATTACCTATAAATAATACAAAATGTAATATATTCTTCATTCGTATGTATAGTCTATAAAAGATAAGACGTATCATGAACCTTACTCTTTATTGAGAAATAATGAAAGGCCTTTCAATTTTTTTCCTTATGCCAGAGTCATTTATTAATTAGAAAAAAAAAGGGGGGGAAATATGTATTATCAACAATAAGAATAGATTACATTTTTTTTTCCCTACCATTTTCCTTGTTACGACTTTCACGTTGTACTCGAAAAATTCATGAAAATTAATTAATCGACAACTTACCATCTTTTATCATTCTTCGTATCACACAAATCATATCTTGTATTTCTTTCACGTAAAACTCGTTGTCAGTGTCTAACGGTAGGCCAAAATCTGATTTTCGTTAGTCAAGGATAAATCTTCATTTTTAACATAACATATATGTCGATAACGATTGCAATGATCGCTTTTACGTAATCATCATTCGAGATGTATCAAGATATCAAATCCAAATATTATCGGAAATTATAAATTAACAACGAAACGGCCATTGTTTCTAATCTACCTGGTTAAAATGATTAGACAAAAGATCATGTACCGATAAGTTCCGAGTTCTAAGTCTTTTGGAAAGAATAAAAATTTTCAGATTTATAACAGCTTTCGACGAGAAATCGAACGAACTTGTTACGCGCATAATTATTATAATATGTATCTTAGTTGGTCGTCAGACTGTTACCAATATCTCCACAAGTGTGACCTTTCAACTGTATTCTGCGAATAATTACTTGGTGAAATTTCCTCAAGTTATTCGACTGATACTGGCAGTACATGTTGAGCCTATTTATTTTTCATTTCATATTAAAAAAAAAAAAAACTTGGAAACAGAGATGTCTAACCAATCGTAACACTTGAATAAAAATTTTTTCTCAACAAAAAAACGTTTGATAATGTGAAATATTTAATGCTTGTTTATAAGAAAAATTTCAATGATCTTCAATAAAAATGAAAGGCCGAATAAATAAAAGATTAGAGCGACCCGTACAGCCAGCGGTATTTCCGGATCATATGCTCACTAACTTTATCATTCATCCCTAAATGAAATGTTTCAAAAAAAGATCGACAATTAGAACGAATAATGTAAATCAAAATTGTCGATTAATCAAAGCACGACGCTGGTATTGATCGATATTGTATTCTCGTCAGCCATAGGTGGTTTTGTTTTATTAACGACAGGCATCATACGACACGATTAGTATAAAGTGGAACATCGATTATAACACTGTAATCTTCACTCGTGCTTAATATCTAAGGAGGATTAGGATTAAATTTAAGGCAGGTGCTTCATTTCCATTACAAAATATACTGCTCACAAAAACTAGGGGATATTTCAAAATGAATATGAAGCATAATAAAAAAAAAAAAAAAAATCAAATGCTTCTTTTATCGCTTCATATTCATTTTGTAATATCTCCTAATTTTTGTGAGCAGTATAATATTTTCTCGTTTGTAATTAAATCTCACCTATGGATATATATACAATTTCTATAACTTTTGTATAAATTTGAAAGAACACAGAATAAAGGAAAAATGAATCTGATATATCTAAGCATATGTAAATGCTACTACCAATATCTACAATCAAAACATGTTCTTTCACATAGATCTTACAATTAACAAATTCTTTTTGCCCGTAAACGAGAGCTTTTTTTCTCTAAGAATAAATCTTCCAAGATGTATTGAGAATAAAGAAAACGTACCTTGAGCCTTAGATCGTAATTTGTGTTTCAGGAACTTGTGAAATTGAAAGAACCTCTGCTTTTCTTGCACGTAGATCGCAACGGTAACGGAATAATTACACACTTTCACGTGTTATTCAAAAATCTGTCCCGCAAATTAAATCGAAGAAATACAACTGAGAAAGTGGTATTTGATTATATTCGAATGTTGGATTGGATAAGAGCACAATTAACACGATACGTATGTATATCTCTACTCGCTAACAGACTGATTTCGCAGCAGCAGCGGAGCGGCTAGTTCATCGTCAGGTTCATTGAATATGTTGGATTCAACTTCTGTCGCGCCGCCTAACGCATCCCTTGGGATTCTCATTTCGATCATAGTTGTCGCCTTAAGTCAACCCGTACGGTAACGAAAGCCAAACTTTGATCAACGAGCGCTGCACATGTGAACGAATGGCAGCATCAGAGATTCCCCTATGCAATTCGATGACGTTCGATTTTCAAAATTTTACATATTTAAAATTCATTGAGAAATATTTCCGTGCCCCAACACTCTTCCAAAGGGAAGTAACCTGATCCTACATCTGTTTATCGCAAGATTGAAGACGTTGAACCAAGATGCACTTGGACAATCATACGCGAACGATATGAAAAAACTGAGTTTTTTCATATCCTGAAACCTTCCATTTATTTCCAGTCAAATTTCGAAAAGGATACATTCCATCATCTCTTGTATTCCGAATGTCGAAAGTTCTCCATGAGTCGAGTAACAAGCAACGAATTCCTTCCGAAGATCGTGAAACATGTTATAGTGCTCTGGCAAATTGATGTCTTTGTTGCAGGCTTCTGGATGTAAGCATTGTCTCATCGGCGCCTGGCCGTCTACGACGAAACATGGTACACAGCCAGACGTCACGTGCGACATACTGGACCACCATGCTTCAAACTTTTATTAAAAATGAATTTTTTTTTTTTTTTTTTTTTTTTTCGAATGTCTCGTATA